CTATCTGTCAGGTAGCTTCCCACCACATTCCTTAGGTATCCACTGACCCCGAGTCTTTGCAGTCTGTTATTGATTAAGCCCCACTTCGCGGTGTTAAAAGCGTTCTTGACATCAATCAGGACGAGGGCGCCCCACGCCTCGCTTCTGTCACTTGCCTTAGCGAGGACCTGCTTCACTGCCTGGACCGTAGATCTCTTGGGTCGAAACCCAAATTGCGTCTCTGAGATTCCATTCAATGCCGTTAACTCCTCCTCTAACCTTGTTTTCAGAAGCTGCTCATACAGTTTACCCGGAACATCTATCAAACTAATGGGCCTGACCTTGTTTCCTAGCTCCGCTACATTACCCTTGGGGATTAGAACGACGTTCGCCTTCTTCCATTCTTCCGGGAAGTCTCCTTTATTCAGTAGCTCGTTAAGCATGTCAAGTATCTTATCTGGGCTAACTTTCACCGCTAGTTTGACCGCCTCGGGTAATATCCCGTCTGGTCCAGGTGTTTTCTTTGTTTTTATTCTGTCGGCGGCTTGTACCAGCTCTTGCATCGTAAAGAGGGGTGGTGGCTCCTGGGGCGCTCGTTCATATGGGGTGGGATGGTTATCCATTGGGAATAGTTCCCTTATTCTGTCATTCTTAATGTTCTGATGCAGGTCATATGGAGTCCTCAGATTTTTCATAGTGCCCATGACTATTTGATAGCCCTGCCCCCAAGGGTCCTCCTCAAGGTTGCCACAGAGCGTATCCCATTTTTGCCTTTGTGATTTCCTAATAGCTGCCCTCATCTTCCTCCTGTCCTCCTTGTATCTAGCCTCCAGTTCTTCAATTTCATTTACGTCAACATTTCTTCCCCTGGCTCTTGTTAGACGTCTCCTAGCTCTGTTGCAGCAGCCTCTCAGCTCCGCGATGTCCTCATTCCACCATGTAGGCTGCGGTTTCGCAGGCCTACCGTCCCGGTTTCTTAGACTCGCTGCCTGAGCTCTTTTGATTATGATACCTAGGTCCTTGGCTCCCCTGATTCCTCCAGCTGGGATCTGTAGGGAATTACCAAACACTCCTGGATGTATAAAAGGCCTCTCCTGCCATTCCTTCTTAGAGGACGGTTTCTCCTTATCCATCTCGAAGAATATGTGCCTATGGAGGCTGAAGCTGTCTTCCATAGAGACGCGCCATTTTCTAAGACTCCTGCTAATATTCATCGTAGAGAGGGTAATATCTATAAAGGATACTTGTGCCCCCCTAGAGAATGTCGGGGTATTTCCTTCGTTGTTTATTGTCATATTTGACGCATGTATCCAATCCTCTAAGTAATTCTTTCGTAGACGGTAGACGTGTGTAGGCGTGTGTGTAGGCGTGTGTAGAGTAGTGCTCCGTATCGAAATATCATTTTAAATTAAATCAAAAGCGAGTGAAATGGTGAACACGAGAAGTGGTGAGGTAAAAACCGACATGGAAAATAAGCAAGATAACACTCTTCTTATTCTCATGAGACAGATGATCACCATGGAACTCGAAAAACAAACAAGAGTATTTGTTGAAGAAATATCTGTCCTCAAAAACGAAATGCAGGCTATTAAAGAGACCAACATTGAACTGATCAAATTGTTGAGTAACTCCAGTAACGACCAGTTTTTGAAAGAATCCACAGAAAATAACCCGAAGTTATTAGATAGTTCTTTCGCTTCAAATTCGTCAGGGAATACAGTCATTGAACAGAATGACTACTCATCAAAAAACGAATCCACTCAGCAGTGGACAGAAGTGCATTATAAAAAGAAAGGAAAAAAACCAACAACAAAAACTCAAGATCGCCAAGAAGTGACCACACGTCAGCAAGTACGTCGCAGTGTGAATAATAAACCTATCGTAGGGTCAGATTCAAGTCGAAATTCAGACGAAGATTTTGCCGGGGCGGATCCGATGGTTTGGCTGTATGTCGGCCGTTGTAAACCGCAGGCAACCGCCGAGAAAGTCAGATCTTACCTGGTCAAGAAGTCCCCAGAATACGATTTCTAGGTGACAAAATTAAACAGTGTTGGAAGGTATTCGTCTTTCAGAGTTGGAGCAAGTATTCAACTCAAAGACATCCTTTATGAATCTTCACATTGGCCAAATAAAGTTTTAGTGAAGCGGTTTCAGTTTCGGAAAACCTTTCGAAACCAGTCAGAATTCTAAAACTATCAAGGTTTGTGAATCAAGTCGTTTCAATATTTTCCATCTGAATATTAGATCCTTAGCTAATAAGCTCAGTGAGTTAGAACTTATTACAGAGACGAAAAATATTGATATTTTATGTTTGTCAGAAACCTGGTGCTCTAATCTTAGTATTAATTCTATGGCATTAGGTAATTTCAAAATTGCTAGCTTTTTCAATAGAGAAAAACACATTCACGGCGGTGTAATGATATATATTAATAAAAATGTAATTTATAGAGACTTGAAAATTCAAAAATTCAGAAATGACGAGATGCATATAGAACATTGCGGAATTGTTTTTTCTATTGAAAATGAAAATTATTGTTTAATTAATATTTATAGGCCTCCAGGTGGGCAAATAGATTTATTCATCAACAGATTCTCTGAAATTTTAGGCCAATATACTAGACGATATAAAAATGTTATTATAAGTGGAGATATGAATATCGACAATCTGAACTTGAAAGATTGTCCTCAGAAAGAGAAGGATAAACAATTGTTCATTGATTTACTTGAAAGTTACAGACTATTTCAAAAATGAAAAGCCTACAAGAGTTTTCACTGATAGAAACGGGGTGACCTCAATTTCTCAGATCGATTATTTTGCAACCAATATAGAAACCTTGTTATTTCGTGAAGAAGTCGAAGAAATGGATTTGAGTGATCATTATGGTTTAATGTTCATACTAGAAATTGAGGAGCATCATAAAAATCATTCTCGAAATAAAACTACTACTAGGCGTGATACATGTAACGAGAACCTCATGCATTTAACAGAATTATTGAGAAAAGAAGACTATCAAATAATTTATCAAAATAACCTGGATGTCAACAATGCCTACGAATTTTTTTTCAATATTCTGATGTACTATTTAGATGTCTCATGCCCTTGTATAAGTATCCGAATTGAAATGGAAACTAACAAAAATGAGTGGATCACAAATGAAATCAAAGTTGAGGGTAGGAAATTGAAGGAACTGTATTTGTTAACTAAAAATATCTGCAATGATGAATCATTAGAATTTTATCGTGAAAAGAGATCTCAGCATAGGCGTAATATCATAAACGCAAAAAGAATATTTTATCAGAACAAGATAACGGAAACCGATACCATACAGAATAAACAGAAACAAGTTTGGAGGACTGTCCACAAATTGACAGGAAAAAGAATGCAAAATGATCATCCGCGAGAGTTGTATATTGATAATAAATTAGTGAACGATAATTGTCTTATAGCCAACAAATTTGCTGATTATTATTCAACAATAGGTTCAAGCTGTATTCAACAACACTTTCATGATAACGTTTCAGTTGGTACAACTGATATGAGCAAGTTGCCGTGTACCTTTTATTTTTACCCTGTTACCCCAATTGAAGTTTTCAGTGTCATCAATGAGCTCAAAAATAAAAATTCTACCGGTATGGATTGCCTTACCACAAAAATCATGAAATCCATCTCGTACTTTATCTGTGAACCACTCGCATTTATTATCAATTTATCCGTAGAAACAGAAACGTTTCCAGATATGCTGAAAGTAGGAAAAGTTGTTCCACTATATAAGAAAAGTGATCCGCTCATCATTGATAATTACAGACCAATTACAATTCCTAGTGTTATTAGCAAAATTGTGGAAAAATGTATCTATAATAAACTCTATCCATTCTTAGAGAAGTATAATGTTATCAGCAAGTATCAAAACGGTTTCTGCCTAGGTAGATCGACAGAAAGCGCTGCTTCAGTATTCCTGGAGAATATCTATAGCGGTATTGATAAAGGAAAGTATGTTGCTGCGCTGTTTTTCGATTTAACCAAAGCTTTCGACTCCATTGACTTCGACATACTTGCTGATAAACTGTATACCATAGGTATTCGTGGAAAATTCCACGCTTGGATTATATCCTACATGAAATATAGGAAAATATTTGTTAAATGGCAGGATTCTAACTCAGAACTATTTGATATAGATATCGGTGTACCACAAGGATCAGTGTTAGGACCTTTATTATTTTTACTATATATTAATGATCTCCCACAATATATAGGAGGTACATCAATCACATTATTTGCTGATGATACCTCAATCTCGGCTGAAGCCGACAGCCATGTGCAACTTCAGTCCAAACTAAACATAATAGGTGAAAGATTTACTGCTTGGTGTCAGAGTAATAGACTGATAGTTAATGCTGAGAAAACTGTGCTAATTCAGTTTTTTGGTAGAAAAGCTACGGATTCACCTATTTCTGTGAATATTAATAATATTACTGTACACCCTTCGGATACAACAAAGTTTTTAGGTGTATATATAGACACCGAATTGAAATGGAAACACCATATCAACTATGTATGTAAAAAAATAAATAGTAGTTTTTATGCTCTACTGCAGCTCAAAAAAGTTTTGGGTGTGAATATTCTTGTCGATGTTTATTATGCAATGGTGAACTCAGTACTTTCCTACAATATTCTCCTGTGGGGTAATGGTACTACGATTGATCGGGCTTTCATTGGTCAAAAACGCATAATTCGACTTATATATGGTCTGAAATATACCGAATCATGTAGACCTATTTTCAAAAAACATAAAATTCTAACACTACCTTCTATATACATTTACCATTCTGTCATTTACGTGAAAAAACACGAATCCAAGTTCGAAACAAATGGAAATTCTCATACTTATCCTACAAGGAGCGGTAATTTACTGAGGTTGAGACAACAACGCACTCAGCTTTTTCAAAAGTCACACCTCACAACTGGTCCGCGGTTCTTCAATTCCCTGCCCTCAGATATTAAGGAAATATCATCTCTCGTAAAATTAAAAAAAAAAAAGTGAAGGATTATCTGCTGGAAAGAAGTTTTTATTCTGTGAAGGAATTTTTGGAGACAAAAATTTGAAGTGAGGTGATTGTATCTGTATTTTTGTATTTGTATTTTTATTTTTAATGTGATTGTATTTCAAATGTTTACCTCCAATCATAGTTTTTGGATGTTTTGAATGTTAGACCCATTTTATCTTTATGTCAATATTTTAACTTTTATGTGTTTGTATATTCTCTTTAAAATAATTTTATACAACTTTTTTTTGACGATTCCTATATCATTTTTTGTATGATCAATTCAAGGAATAAATACATTATTACATTATTACAATGCCTCTTGCGTCAGACCGGGGTGCCCCCCACGCCGTAGACTTAGCGTTGAAATCGCCGGCAACCACCGACTCTTTCCCGCTATCTATCACATGTTGCATGATCGCGTCTACCTGTAACTTATATTGGTCGATGGGAATGTTAGGGGTGATGTAGCAACTATACATTGCCCATTCCTCGAAAATCACACTGACAAATCCTGGACCCGTTGCGTGTGTAACTACTCGACATCCTGTATTTACGCACAATATCGCACAGCAGCTGTTAGTATCCAATATCCACCTAGTATTCCCTCTTACCATCCGTATATTTGGTTCCTGCACTAGAGCAATATCTATGTTATTCTCCATCACTACTTTAGCAAGGAGGTGGTGGGCCGCCCCCCTCCTGTCCGCATTAAATTGCATTATTTTTAGGCCCGTATATTATTACTACGGCCCCTCCTCAGCCACCAGTCTTTCGTCTTCCCTTTCTTGCCCCCTTTGATTCGAGAGGTCCAAGATCCCACGCAGAATGGAGCCAGTTATATCCAATGATGTTGGCATTGGTGTGCTTTCTCTCATCACCGTGCCGCTTGCTTCCCTCAATTCCGATTCGCCTGGGAACACACTCGATCCCCTTCTGAACCTGCGCATGTTACCTACCCTGGCAGCTTTAAGCGCGTCCCTAAACGCCAGGCAGCCCATATTCCCTGTCTTATGGCACTTTTCTTCGCATACCGGGCAGTACTCCTCCCTCTTGCATTTGGTAACCTTGTGGTCCGATTCCCCACACCTGAAGCAGCTAGCCGTCCTATCCGGCCCCCTGCATTGCTCCTTCATATGGCTATAAGCCCAGCATCTTGTGCACCTCGGTACGTATGTCCTCTTCTCTATTCTGCACCTTACAAGGCCTATTCTTACCTCCTCCTTTTGGATGAGGGATTTAGCCATATCTTTTGGTAGCGTTACGGTCACTGCGGCTGTATCATTTCGGAGTGGCCTTACCTCGCCCATCCTACATTCCTTGGTCCACTGTCCCATTTCCCGCTCCAGGGCTTCCCGGACCTCCTCCTTCGAGACATCCCCCTCCATCCCTCTTAGGTGGAAGGTCTCCGTCGGGGTATTTCTGCCGAGTTTCCTGGTTTTTAACGAGCCTTAACCATCTAACGCCTTTTTTATTTCGTTCAAAGCCCCCAGGTCCTTGTCTAATGTAAGCAGTAAACTCCCGTCCCGCGTCTTCCTTATTCCTTTTATGGCCTTCGCGGCATCAGCCCCCCCCACTGCGTTCTTGACCGAGCCAAGGATGTCCCTATAAGTTTTATTGGCGTCACTTATGATGACCCCATATGTATTCCCCTCCCTCCTTCCATTTTGTTGGGGTGTAGTATATATGTCTATCGCAGTGGCTCCTCCATGGAAGATAGATTCTAGCATCTTTCGGAATACCTCCATTTTTATTCTCCTCAGATGGTGCACACATACTCTATCATCATCACCCGAGTTATGTAGCGATCGTTCCCATGGATTTGCCGTTCCCATAGAAAACGCTGATGTAGCTTCGCTGATCAAGCTGTATTCCAGGAAAGCTCTCAATTCGAGCCTCTGAGAGCGAATCTAGTTCTCACCTTTTATTCATTCTAATTGTAACTCTTGTCAGAGACAGTCGATCTGTATTTTGTAAAACAAATAAAT